ATGTGGTGCTGAGGAATCGAACCCAGGGCCTCAGGCATGCAAGGCAAGCACTCTACCACTGAGCCACCTTCCCAGCCCATCAATGGCCAACACTTTCTTAGCAGCCCCCATTCCCTTAACTGGGCAAATCCAATAACTCAATTCATACTAGTGTGCAAATGGCCACCCAAGTTGTACTCTGTGTCCCTCTTGGGGAGCAAGTGTTTCAGTTCTTGAACAGGAAGGAGCCTCTCTTCAGATGGCAGGGCATCCCCTCCCCCTCCCTCTCCCCTCCCCCCTCCCCCAGCCTGTCCTACTGCTCTGTCCATGTGCCTTGGGCATCAGAAAAGTGGAATTGTGAGAGCAAAGTGTTTTGCTTCTTTCCCCTAGTTTCCTTTCCTCCTGGAGAGACCACTCATGTTGATGTGAAGCAGGGGTGCAGCTCTGAATCCCTGCTGTCCATGGGCAGGAAGCCCTCCAGGTCTCGCTCTAGACCTTTCCCTTGGGTTGACCAGATATCCTTTGTCACCGTCACTCTACTGCCCAGGCTCCACTTGGCCACCTGCGGCCGAGTGCTTAGAGTGCACAAGTCCAAGCCCCGGGCCACGGCCGGGGAACACCTGCCTCCCCATACCTTCTAGACTGGCGAAGAGCTGCCAGATTGTGCGATCTGTGGCTGGTGGGGAAAGTAGGGCGTGTTCAGACACTGGAGTCCAGGGAAAAGGAATGGCCTCACGCACACAAGTCTGTAAGCTGGGGGGGAAATATTCACTACATGTATTCATTTTGTGAATATATATACTGCCTCACACACAAACCTGTAAGTGGGGCAGGGAATGTTAACAACGTGTGTGTGTGTGTGTGTGTGTGTGTGAGTTCATTTTGGTCCTGGGGCTTGAACTCAGGGTCTGGGCAATGTCTCTGAGCCTTTTGGCTCAGGGATAGTGCTTAGGAGGCTGAGATCTGAGGATCACAGTTTAAAGCCAGCCAGGACAGGAAAGGAAAGTCTGTAAGACTTATCTCCAATAAACTGTTCAGCAAAAGCCAGAAGTGGTAGAGTGCTAGCCTTGAGCACAAAGAGGCTCAGGGACATCACCCATGCCCTGAGTTCAAGTCCCAGGACAAGGACAATGGAAATGTTCTCAATGAAGGTGTGTATTTTAAAGTGAGAAATATAATACATTTATGCCACCAAAAAGCCAGAAGTGGAGTTGTGGATCAAGTGGTAAAGTACCAGCCTTGAGCAAAAGAGCTTAGCCCCAATACTGTCATACAGACAGACAGACCCACCGACAGACAGACAGACACATACACAACAAGTGTGTGTGCCTTGGCATTTAGCAGCTTGCTTGCTTGCCATTAACCATCGGCTAGAAGTTATCAGTGAGTCACGTAAAGCAATAGCATCTCGGGCTGATTGCACAGTAAGGTTGAGCCATCTCTTCCCAGCCTGTCAGCACACGCCAAATGCCAGGCACCGTGTGCCCCACACAGCCGTCCCGTGCCCGCCGCGGCCGCCCAGTGGCAGGCGGAGCACCTCCGGCAGGCGGGGCACCGTGTGCACAGGCGGAGCACCTCGGGCAGGCGGGGCACCTCGGGCAGGCGGGGCACCGTGTGCATAGGCGGGGCACCGTGTACACAGGCAGGGCACCGTGTGCACAAGCAGGGCACCGTGTGCACAGGCGGGGCACCGTGTGCGCAGGCGGGGCACCGTGTGCGCAGGCGGGGCACCTCGGGCAGGCGGGGCACCGTGTGCGCAGGCGGGGCACCGTGTGCACAGGCGGGGCACCTTCGGCAGGCGGGGCACCGTGTGCACAGGCGGGGCACCTGTGGC